TTTTCTATATAGAAATTATTATTGATAATAACAATTAATGTTTCAAATCAAATCTGCAAAAACACTGCTCAATAAAAAGCAGCGCCTTCGACCACAGTCATATGTGCAATGACAAAGTAAAGATATCGGGTATTCCATCCTTTATTCTATGCCCAAAGTAACAGGTGGTGAGGTGAAATGGAGTTAAACGTCGCGTTCAAGATTATTGCACTTATATAGCGACGTAGCGACGTAGCGACGTAGCGACGTAAACAGTATCGAAGTCGGAGCTTGCGATTCATACAGTGTTCGACCTTCACTCTATGAAGGTTCATTTTAAGTCAGATTTACAAATGTTATGTCGGCATATTTCAGCCATATCGTGACGAGAAAGCTATTATACATAAATAATAATTATATATAGACTTATAAAAACCTGTCGCCGAAGGACAATACAAAAACTAGATAATCACAGATTTTATTTTAAATAAGTTTTATGAAGGTTCATACTACAATGAACTCACACAAAGCGAAAGTCAATTCTAACAGTTTTTTATATCACTATTTTATACCACGAAGGGTGTATACACAATTGTATTCAGCGCGCGTGACGTCATGTTTACACTGACGGCCATACAACAACCAACTGTATAGCGGCAAAAAATAGTTCCTGAAAAGGAAAGATGACATGAGCGTAACAGTAACACCTTTTGTCGTTTGGTTATAACAAAACGATTCAAATAGTATCGTCATTAGATGAGAACGATCTGTTAAGAACTACTTCTATAAGTCAGTCACTCTGACAGCGCGTCGTACTGGAAGTTAACATTGCCGACACGATAAGAGTGACGGGGAATATTTCCCAAGTTTTTAATAAACCTGTGGAAATTACAATTGTGACTCATCACTGATCATTTGGCCGGTTATTGAAAGGTGATCATAAAGTTGTGTCAAATAGATACTGAGGTCAATTCAAAGACTTATGTAGACTGTCACTGTTAGTCGTCCCTTGGGCACGCCAGAAACCTATGATTGTGGGTTCGAATCCCGGTTCGCCCCGATTATGTTTCTAGGTTTGTCAGCACCATACCCGGGCTCGTGGGTTTCACCGAGGAGGTAAACGTCTGAGACCTGCATCACTTCAGGCTTTCCTCCCACATTAAGCTGACACGCCGCGATATAACTGGAATACTGTTAAAAGCGGCGTTTAACCCAACTCACTCACTCACTCACTGTTAGTCGGGACACCGATCGATGGGTTGTGGCGAGGCCATTCCTGCACGACCATGCAGTCAAACACTCTGACTATTCCCAATGTACGCTAAAACGCTGAGTTCAAGATTCAAGTGTTAAATTCAGAAACCTCGTTTCTGTATTTATTCATCTTCCCGAATCGAGGACTGAAAAGGTCCGTTTCCACCCTTGCCAATCTAGGATGGAAAATCTGTGCTCGATCGTAGCGCCACCAGTGGTTTTTACGAGTTATGTCCCTTCTATATCCCTCCTATTGACTATTCAGATTCCACCTCTCGTATCACTTGAATTTGTTTCAAGACGATCTGATCGATAATCAAGCTCTAAATTGTAACAAAATGCGTCTTACTTCGCGAAGTGCATCAAATCACGTGAGCACCTTGATTAAAACATGAACATATTTGGAATAAACATGTTGACGCTAAACTGACGGTAGACATGCTTTGCAAATCCTTGTAAATCGACCGAAATCTGCACGGCAGTTTATGAACCGGAAGTCGATTTCGTTACACGATTTTGATTGGACTATGCATAGACTCGTTAGTCCAGCCAAAATATAACTCCATAATTCCAGCCTAGTTCGGCAAGGTGGAAACTGGACTTATCTAGTCCGTTAACTCCCTCGCCTCGGGAATATGTATTTATTTGATCTAGGAAATTCCCAGGCGTTTTCCACAGTAATATGGAAGAAGTCTATCATTTAAAGTCATTTCAACAATACAGTCTCGAAAAAAAACGACAAAATGTGTCGCTCAAAAGCTAATGAACGTCAGTTTTGTCCAATGAAAAAGCCATACGTCATGTAAACTTCACATTAAATAACTATAAGGGTATACATGTATGCACTGTCCGTGCTCTAACATGGGATTACCGGTGAATTATACATAACATTTGCTTTAGGTTAGCCTCCGCTTATTACTCTGCACTAAATTGACTGATCCGATCACGAACACTATAAATAATAGCGCTTAATCAGCAGCAGCCCGTGCTCAGCTGAATAGAATTCTCCACGAGTCAGCACATCTCATCGCTTATTACAAATACTGCCGCATGTCTGTGTCATCATTTTATATAAAACAAAATGGAAAATGAAAAGAACTTCTCGATACGATAAACAAGTTCTCAAATTCTCTATTACCGCGATCAGACTTAAAAATGCCATCATAAAGTATGCACGTTCGACCTTCTCTGAAATGCATACATTCTGTGGCACGAGTTTTTTTACTCGATTAATCTGTGTTTTGTGTTTTAAGTTGAATTCTCCAAAGACACTGCGTGTTTAATGTAATTTCAGCGGATGATAAATGGCACAGCTCAAATCAACAGGACATAACATGCTAGACTAGATCTTTGTAGAAACCCTTCAGTAAGGTCGTGTCTGTGTTCGTATTATTACCATGTAAAGGTTCTAATCGCAGTCTTACATTCAGATTGCTTTGCGAAAAAGAAACCTTACAGTTCATTGCATGTAATGGTCTAAACGCATGGGGGCTTTTGTGTCATTACAATCAGAGCTGTAGAACTTTAGAGACAAGTTTCTGGTGTCTTAAGGGACCGATCCTCTTTGTAAGACGTGGGGTGGTCAACAAATGTATGTTTTGCATAAAAATACTGAACATAAAAAGTAAGGGATCATGTATATTTTTGGAGGACTTCTTTTGTCGTGAAAACTGAACACAATTTCATAAAACTGTCCCAACATATATTCCCATCTCATTAAAATCAGAGCCTAGTTCTCGCTATCGCTAAACAAAGATCTGAGGACATCCCATTGAGGGTCACGTCAGAACGACCTTTCATCCGACCAATCAGGGCGTCGCTTACCAGATCATGAAAGTGACAGTCGGAATGTGTTTCCTAATCATGCAACCTCGAAAACGTCAAGACGGGGTAATCCGAACGACAGTTACGACCCGTACGACTCATTCGTCAAAATTACCGTCTGTCTCTCGCTTCAGTGGGATAAACATTTGAACGGAGGAGGCGTTGAACAGTGTGTGGGAAGCATTGCTATACAATCTCAACCATATATTAGACATTCCGGAATGTTCGTTTGTTCAGTTTTCAAAATTTTAATCGAGAACTGTGTCAACATATTTTGCAAACGTAGTCTGAAATGGAAGTCGCCAGGTTGAAACGACTGCCGTAAAGCTCGAGAAAGCTGCTTTCTAATTGGCTGATGTCGACTTCTTGTTTGTCATTTCAGTCGTCGGTCAAAGTTGGTGAAAGGTCGTTCTGGCGTGACCCGTAATGGAATGTCCTCAGGCAGCGAGAACTCAGGTCTGATTTTAATGAGATTGCATAATATATTCATGATCTCTAACTTTGATGTTCAGTATATAAAACGTCAATGCCAGAGAATAACCAGTCTGGATTGTTCCTTTTCCCGAGGCAAGTGAGTTAACTGACTATAAAAGTCCAGTTTCCACCCTTGCCGAACTAGGCCGGTATTATGGAGTTTTGGCTGGACAAACGAGTTCATGCATAGTCCAATCAAAACCGCGCTCCGAAATCGAAATCCGGTTCGTAAACAGTCATGCAGATTTCGGTCGATTGCAGGATTTGCAAAGTATGTGCACCGGTAACTCTTTGTCAACAGATATTTTCTAAATCTGTTCATGTTTTTAATCAAGGCGCTCACGTGATGTGATGCACTTCGCGATGTAAGACTCGTTTTATCACAATATATAGTTCTTGATTATCGATCAGATCGTCTTGACTGGGCGCCGCAGTTTTGTTTGAAGCAAATGCAAGTGATACGAGAGGTGGAATCTGACTGGTCCATATGAGAGGCATAGAAGGGACATAACTCGTAATAGCCACTGGTGGCGCTACGATCGAGCCCAGGAATTCCAGCCTTGTTCGCCAAGGGTGGAAACAGGACTTTGAAAGTCAGTTAACTCTCTTGCCGCGGGAAGATGGGATTATCCGACGAAAGAGATTTTACTGGGCGTAAAATGCGAAATAGAGGTAAAAGTTATATGAATGGTGACGACACCATGTGATTTACACAAGGTAAATAATGTCTTGTTCATGTTGTATTACTGACCCAAAGAGGTTTTTTTTATAAAAGAAACCACATGTTCTGTTGATTATTATCGAACTGTAACAATCAAGTGGGGAATCCGGGCTAGAACTGGCCCCCAGCAACATATCCTTGTCGGGAGAGGCAACCACGTGGATTGAGTGGTCAGACTCGGTGACCTGGTTGATTATATGTCATTGTACGCCGGCGGCAAGGATTGGTGCTCATAATATCAATCACTGACGTTAAACAACAAAACAAACCCATAGACAACATTGAAATGACCCACAATTACATTATAATATATAATTATCCTCCATCCCATATAACTAACCAGCCGTTCCTTATGATTCCATATTGAGAACTCACTTTGCTTCCGCGCTACCAGGGGGCACAAGTGGCCAAGTCGTCAACGGAGTCGCAATTCGCTGTGCAGAGTTGCGTCCCTTGGAAACGCCAGAAACCTGTGATCATGGGTTCGAATCCCGGTTCGTCACGGTTCTGTTTCTAGGTTTGACAGCACCATACCCATGCTCGTGGGTTTCACCGAAGTGGTAAACGTCTGAGACCTGCATCACTTCGGGCTTTCCTCCCACATTAAGCTGACACGCCGCGATATAACTGGAATACTGTTCAAAGCGGTGTTAAACCCAACTCACTAACTTACTAACTTCCACCACAAAGACAAACGATACAACAGCCTCAGCTAATAGCACCTCCACGTATTAGTAATGTCTCTTACCACAAGGGCAATAGCGAGGGCCTTGACCTCTGTATGGCCTAGGAAACAGTTTGGTAGGAGAATTTCCGTCTGTTCCAGGCGACTGTACACGTGTTTGGACGGAATGAGCTGCAACCGTGCGCATGCGCGTTGGTACACTTTTTGGCTGACTGACCCGGATGTATCAGGAACAAAGTCCACAACCTCGTCAAATGACGTCGACACAACATCTGGATCTGAAAATAAAATATTAATGTTGATAATACATGATATGAACGTAACATTAATCTTGATAGTAAACGATCTATATGTGACAATATTAATCTTGATCGTACAGGGGGCACGGGTGGCCCAGTCGTCTAAGGCGCCGCGATTCGCTGTGCAGAGTTGCGTCCCTTGGGCACGCCAGAAACCTATCATTGTGGGTTCGAATCCCGGTTCGCCCCGATTATGTTTCTAGGTTTGTCAGAACCATACCCGTGCTCGTTGGTTTCACCGAAGTGGTAAACGTCTGAGACCTGCATCACTTCGGGCTTTCCTCCCACATTAAGCTGACACGCCGCGATATAACTGGAATACTGTTAAAAGCGGCGTTAAACCCAACTCACTCACTCACTCACTTGATCGTACAATATTTTGTTTTGTTTGTTTGTTGTTTAACGCCGCACTTAGCAATATTCCAGCTATGACGGCAGTCTGTAAATAAACGAGTGATTGACAACATGAGCATCGATCTACGCAATTGGGATCGATGACATGAACCAACCACGTTTAAATAATCAAATCTAGGCCAAGCAAACTAGTGGATGAGTGCATGAGCATATAAATATCAGGGCACGTTGCCACCCAACCAGCCTAGTCACGAATTGTAACTGCTCTATCCCCGGAGGTAGGTTCCTAAAACATGCTATATCATTGGTCCGGAATCTGCACCAAAGTTAGTGAATTCACTTCAGTGCTGGCTTTATATATATTTGAGTTCGTTATAACCGTAGTTAACTGAACTTCAGCGTTAAAGACTGAGTTTTGTGAAGTTGAGAAAAGTGATATTTTCCTTGCAGTGAACATAACACCTTATATTTTACTACAGTGAACATTGAACATTTTCACTTTGACGGAACTATTGTCTTACAAGAGTTACCTCCCCGCCAACTATCTCCATTTATCGTAAGTGTATAGCCCGTACACAAACTGTTGACTTCCTATTTACGTTAGTTCCACATTGACATGTTAAAATATAAAGACAGATGGTCATTTGTGGAGGTAATATCGCTTCTCACCGTTTGTTATTCTCTTGAAAATGTTTCGTTTTAAACTGTGAATTTCACAGTGAACTTGTCAATCGAGACTGTTCGTTTCTCAAACCGCCGTTTTTGTTACTTGACCACCGTGTATTCTTTCGCTTTCAACAACGGTCTCTTAGATTTCAGGAATGTTGTTTGTTGAAGTTGATTTTGTGTATAATCATTTCCAGAGTAACGATAAGGATTTAAAAGACATCAAATATTTTGTGTTACTTTAACTTATATTTTTAAGAGTGGTGGTGAAACTTCTCTGTGTGTTAGGGAGGTAGAATTATAAGTTTTACATATGAAATAATTAATGAAAGGAAATGAAATAATAAATATTTTTCCGGTAGACATCTCGCAAAAAAGATATATAGAATATTCCATGTGTAGAGTGAAATATCACGTTTCACTCATCTCGTGACGGTCCGTGACTCGATGAGAGAAACGTGATATTTCACTCTACACATGGAATATCCTCAGTCTATATAATAAAACGTGGAAGATGCATACTCTAACAAATGTGATGACGACCACCAACATATAAACCCACCGGAACAAATAGAAATATTGCTGACAATATCTGTGTAATATTGAAATGATATTCAAACCAACTACACTGCCGGTGTCAGCTGTACCAAACGTAAAGCATGACAATAGATGACAACCACATTCCACAAACTATGTGCAATCTGATACTATTCAAAGGAATTACTGCCCTTTGGAATTTAGTCAACTAAATACAATAAACTTCATTAATATGCATTAGATATGAAATTGAGAATGAAATGAACAACCACCAGCAACGGCTGTTCGACATTTTGGATTTGGTATGGCATGTATTTATGGCATTATGAGACATTTGAAATTCAATTTCATTAATTTATATGAAATATTATTTAAACGACTGAAGTAAATACAATGACATACCAAAGCTGCTAATGTTGATCAAGTGTAAAGAAGTGGGAATGGCCTAATCGATTTGAATATCAGATTAAAACCTCTTTGAGATCAAAGCCTAACTCTGTAGTATGCCTGTATCCTTCGTGATTTTGCCAATATAGCCACCAGCCATCTTTTATTTTTATTCAGTAAACTAGATAAGTCATTCAGCCAAACAAATTCAGCCCAAGGGTAATTTCGTGTTTGAGGAAATTGTTCCGGAAACTAAGATGGCTGCCGGCCGCCATTTTGAAACTTGAAGCCATTCATAGTAAAACAACACTTACACCATGTTTTTACCTAATCTGTCAAAGAGTATTGATGGAAAATGCAAAATGTACGGACTACTTTCCATGCGTGTCAGCTCATCTGAGAATACTATATAGATGAGGTAAAACAAGAACATTTTCACAATCATTGGGACCATACCACTTTGCTTACGATTCAATGATCAAAAAATAGGTTTACATGTTTACATGAATATGAGCCTACCATATGTTTTAAGTAATATGGTAAGCGCATACTCGACAGATTTCCACTACGCTGATTTCTCTGCAGGTCTCTTGAGTTTATTTTACTGCAAGAATTTAAAGGTCATCGTGAGTAACCGTGAGTTTCAAAGCTAACTACGTGACATATCGTACATGACCTTAGATAAGCCAGATTCTGAGGGACATAAAAAAGACTTACACATTCAGTAAACTTTTTTACTGTTGGTTAGAAAACTACATCGAATAGCTTCAGGTGAACGAACAACGCGACAGCAAAGTTTGTCAGTGAACATGTGAAATTTGCGATTACACATCACTAGAAATGATGATTTACCATTTCCACTGTATTTCTTGTTCTGTCGGGCATTGTTTTCTATGTAGGAATTAAGATCGTGTGTATTTGCTTGTAAGCTAATCCGGAAACACCAATCTACTGGCGATTAACTTAAAACATACACAATAACATAACGTGGCAAACGTAAATGCAATGACCGGGAAAAATAGTATCTGAAACTATTTTGTACTAGGAATTATATATTCTGATGTCGTGTTATTTTAATGGCAAGTTTTAGTATTCTTTTTTTAAATTCTTCTACTTTAGTATATAACCACGACAATAGAGAATTTTGTAAATACCTTTGTCCGAGACTGGTCACAGCGCGGAGAGTTTCTGGACAAATTGGTTTCCAGAACTAAAATGGACGTGTTTATATACTCTTCAAAAAAAGAAAAGAAACGCAAACCATATTTGTGTGAGGTAGGAAAATACATTTATACGAGGAACCATACATGGTATTGAGCCGAAATGTTGTGGAGAGAACACTTGGTGATTGTAGTCATCTCAGTTATCGGTACACAGGAAAAGATGAAGGTCAGCTACCATCAATAACGCGTATGTCCCCCGTTGGAATCGATAGCGGCCTGACATCTCCTGCCCATGGAAGAGACGAGTATGCGAATCACATCCTTGGGAATGGTAGCCAACTCGGCCTGCAACGCAAGAACCAACTGCTGCAACGTCTGGGGTTGTGGTTGACGTCGGCGTGGCCGTCTATCCAATTCATCCCACAGGTGCTCTATCGGTTTCAAATCCGGGGATCTGGAGGGCCAGGGGAGAACATCAACGTTGTTGCTGTGTAGACGTTATTGCTCTTGTGATCCGTGCTGTATGCGGTCGAGCGTTGTCCTGCTGAAATACACCACGCCGTTGGCTGCAATTGGAAGGACGTGTGGTAGGAGAATTTCGTTGATGTATCGTTGAGCCGTAAGATTACCCTGGATATGGACCATGATGAGAGATAGCCGCCCACATCATAACGCTACCCCCTACAAACATGTCCACTTCTTGTACGCAGTTTCCGGCGTAACGTTCTCCCGACGTCTGTGGACCCGTGCTCTTCCATCCCCTCCACGGAGGAGAAATCTTGATTTGTCGCTGACCTAGACATCTCTCCATCGCAGTTGAAGCCATGCCCTGTGTTGACGACACCAATGAAGTCGTTGTTGACGGTGTTGTCGACTCAATATGACGCGTCGAACAGAACGTCTTGCTCATAGGCCTGCTGCTCTTAAACAATTTCGTACGGTCTGGTCGGAGATTCTGCGCAGTCCGGGTATTTGGGATGCTGTGGTCGTCCTTTCACGTAGGTGGCGCAGTCGGATGTAGCGATCTTGGGCCGAGGTGGTTACTCTTGGTCGTCCCGACCTTGGCCGATCACGTGTTGACCCATGCTTTTGAAACCGATTCCATAGCCTTGTAATGGTGCTGGGTGCTACATTGAAAACCCTGGCTACAGCTGATCGGGATTCCCCTGCCTGCAAGCGGCCTATGACGTTGTTTCTTTGCACGTCTGTTAATCTTGGCATGTTGTTGAACTGCCACTGTACGATTGACGCAGAGGCGAAAACCCTGCACTTTAATACTATTCATAGTGCTGCTGCATGGCACGGCGTGCAGCTCCATGGCCCTTCTGTTAATGCACTGGGTGCGTTTTTCCGAATTGTACGTGTTTCCCGACTGATGGTTTGCATGTCTTTGTTGTGATCATTTTGATGAAATTTGTCACTGACACTATAATACATCAAACCTCTTCATTTTGCATCTCCGCTAATTTTGCTTTTATTGCCAAAAATATCCGTTTTGCGGGTTTTTTTTAAAGAGTATATATTTTTATCGTGATTAGTCTATGTCAGGTATGATTGGGGCACGAGGCAGAACATTTACAGTGTGTCCGGACTGGTTACTAAGGCGGACACTTCATTCGGATAATTACAGTTTGCAAATGATGGTACGTAATAACTATCCTTGTTCAGATTGTCCGGGGTCTCGTTTTCATGGAAACCGACCCAATCGGTTTCACTACGTAACTTCACATGTGTCCATGTGTCGGGTTCACTCTTCGTCTTGCAAGTCCTACTGTCGAAACCGCATCCGTGATCTTGATGATACAACATCTGGAGAGGCACGGTCGGTGATGCGATCCCTTGATCGCCTCATATCAAAAGACGTTAAAAGAGGGTACTTGTTGTTCCCTGCCTGGCGGTTGGCATTAAGGGGGCAACACAAGGACTAGCCGGCTCGGAGTTGGTATGCTGTGTCTGAGTGGGTTAATGTTGAATTGCCGCATGGTATCTCAGTGTCATCATGTCACATCACCTCGCATGACCTCGCTGATGAACTGCTTCCGTCTACACCTGAATGACCTCTGGTGATATTGAGTTCGCTCTATTACTTCTTTATGATCTTAACTTTTTCAGGGTTCATGTAATTGTTCATTGTTCAAATATAAGTTTCAGCTTTCAAATGACATGACGTGACTTATTCATATAAAAAATCATGGTGCCAAAGTCAATATATGTCATACAAATCTTACCGTCCGCTTTAAAATATTCTTCCCCTTCCTGTCCATCCCTATCCGCATTTCCGGTACACGTGAACATGCGCAGTGGAATGGAACTTGAGGTGGCGCCATATTTGGACGAGAAACCTCGTTTTGAAGTTTCCGGGGCAACGAGCCGTCTGCTTGCTTGTCGCTTAGGCCTCAGTCGCTGTGGAAGTTTGGCAAGCGCGTGCATAATTTCATCCAATCAAATCATCCATCATCCTTAACTGCGCTTCCGTATTTAGGCACATCCTTCTTTTAGTGGCTGAAAAGAAAATTGCTTATATTTTAGAAACAGAATCGTTTGTGGTAATTACAGGCACTTGAGATCAATCTGGAAGATCAACATTGCACCAAAATCAATGCCGACAGCTTATATCCGGTGAGAATATGAGCAGCGATAAATGGCAAAGTGATCAGATTACAATAGTTTCGAGAAGTTGGACCAGATGATGGAGTGCCCCTCCTTTATCGATTAGGACAGCCTACTACAAAGGCACACTACGGTATAACAGGTTGTAATAGCACTCTGGAACTGCTTAGCGTTAAGTGACTGTTTGATAGCGCCCCAATGGACTATTGAGAAAATTACCTGCTCTTCGCTTATCGTCTTTGAAGGCCTATTGTATGGTATTGTATAGAGAACGTGGGAACACATTATTAACACTACACTGGCTGTATTGCTGCTATATATGTTGTACCAGAGATGACTCCCTTTACTGAGAGCAGTGGGCTCTCAAAAGATCTTTATAAGCGATTCTCTTAATAAAGGTTATGCCTTTCACCTCGGCTTATTGCGGTACCGACTTAGCTTTGTCTCTGAACGCTTGGCCATCTTGTAGGTTATATTGATATTGGCATTTAGGCCAGTAAACAAGGTTCTCCGTATTTTTCTGACAGTTCATGAAAGAGAGCGGACAATTTAATACGAGATAAACATAGATATATGAAGGCAGTATTAATCATAGATTGTTTACTTCAGCGTTACTATGGTGTGTTTGACCGCTTTTGTAAATAGATTTATAATAACTGTCAACATGTTGACCGCTGGAGATACGCCGCTATTGACATCTCAAAACCATATGGTGATATCAATTAGGCGATGTGGCATTTGTTATTGTTGTTTTGAACATAATACAGGATTTGGTGGGTGTTGACTGTTGCAATCCTATTGCCGAATATGTTGTGAGGTATAAGCGTTATATTCTCATTTAAGGTGAACTCTTTAATTTTGTTCGTTTGTTTGTTGTTTAACGCCGCACTCTGCAACAGTCCAGCTATATGAAGGCGGTCTGTAAATAAACGAATCTGGACCAGACAATCCAGTGATTGCCATCATGAGCATCGATCCACATAATTGGGATACGATGACATGCATCAACCAAGTCAGCAAGCCTGACCACCCGATCCCGTTAGTCGCCACCAAAACAAAATAATGAGATGTATAATAAATATTCGCTAGACATGCTGGACAGGTTCTGGGAAAAAAGTCATGTCCTAAAGAAGTGAAGGAATGAATATACTATCCTTACACACCAGCTCTACACCAAAAGACGTTTAAATATAGTGTTACCCTGCTTGACGCTCTGCTTTAAGGGGATAAAAAGGTAAGGGTCGTTTTGGAGTCAGTGTATTGTGTTTGAGTCGGGTAGTCTTTCTTAAAATATCTCAGTGAGCTAGCACTATCATACCGTCATACGTACGGACTAGTACACGCACGCGCGCACGCACGCACGCACTAAAGCAAGCGAGCGCGCAAGCACACACACACACACCGCTATACGCTAGATGTCGTCTAAGTGCCACAATCTTGAACGAGACGTTAAACACTGTTTCAATTCACCCCACATAGTATAATAAGAAACGAAGCACCACAGCCTTAGTTGAAAGCACACACAGACCGCGCAGTTCCTTCATGACTTACCATAAGTCTCATCTATTCTCGGCTGTTTGAGACCGGCGCAAGATAACATATGGGTCGGTATATCATGTTGGGTCCAGTTAATATAAGATTGCGACGGAAGAGACAATATGGGTTTAATTACATAGACTGGCATGCGTTCATATAGTCCACGGGGAATCAGGAAGACAATTCAATTATCAGACAGACAACGGATAGAAATGGTATCAGGAATGGCCAAGTCTACATAACGTTGAGTTCACCTCTGACCTACGAATCCATATCTTTATCACTATAGGGACATGGTTATTGATAATTAGATTCACACACCCTCATCCTCATCCTCAACTCCGAAACCTAGGCTGTACCTGATGTCACAAGATCGCAACCGGCATGTGGCGCAATCGTCTAAGGCGCCGCAATTCGCTGTGCAGATTTACGTTCCTGAGGCGTGACATAAACCTTTAATCGTAGGTTCGAATCCCGGTTTGCCCTGATAATGTTTCTAGGTTCTGAACACCATACCTGTGCTCGTGGGCTTTACCAAAACGTCTGAGACCTGCATCATTTCATACTGTCCTCCTACACTCCGTGATATAACTGGAATACTGTTTATTTTAAAGCGTTGTTAAACCCAACTCACTCACTCACTCACATATTTAGGTGATACATCTAGATGTTCAAACATATGTCCCCGGCCACGATGAAGTGTGCCAGGTCGTATTAAAATAACGGAACAATACGTTATCTTCTATAATTTCATGACCAGGTATTTATCACGAATGCATTAGCGATTCATTTAAACAAAACACGCATTCGTAGCTTGGTGTAGAGGTCTGTGTGATTTCAGTTATAAAGTCAATAGTTTGACGAATTACGCCCTAAGTAACTTAAGGAAAAACGACATCTAACACATGTGTTCATGCTTCCGGTTCTTCCAAAGCCACTAGGTGGCGCTCAGACTGAAAACAAAGGGGATGTCACTCTTCAAGCCAGAAGCCGCACTTGCTATCATCCATCTATTGTTAATGTAGACGAGTATTTTTCTCCACTTCCGAGAACGGATGGAATTTAGACAAATGACTTTCTGAAATAGCTGCATGAAACAGATATAATTAAAGACATTGCATTTGATTGAGACCCCTGTCTCAAAGATTAATCACAATCCTTAATACAATCAGGGAAGGACTTTCTTTACATACGCAAAAACGTATTGGAGACAGGTGGTAATAATACCACGTGGATTCTCAAAAACTCAAAAACGATTTGCTTTTTCTCTTTGCAGTCTCAGCATAGAACCAAATTCCATGATATCAAAACATTTGAATTTTCCACACTGTGAACCACTAACCCCCACGACAAACTTACGGGAAAACTTCATTCCGTCAACCATGGGGAAAGGCCTCAGCAGAGTTGTCAAAAACGTTTTATGGACATCATTTCCAAAGTTGACCAAATATCAGTGACCAAATTGATATCCGATGGAACACCTGTATCATAACTGATAAAAGGCGACTTTGCTTGTCGTAGGAGGCGACAAACGGGATCGGGTGGTCAGTCTCGCTGACTTGGTTTATGCCTGTTATCATATCCCAGTTGCGTGGATCGATGATCATGATGTCAATCACAGATTGTCTGGTCCAGACTTGATTATTTACAGACCGCCATCATATAGCTGGAATATTGCGGTAAACAACAAACAAACAAACAAACCGAATTCGGAGAGTACTAATAGAACAAAATATACGGTACCTCATATGTTTTCGGGTTGTTATTTTAAAAAAATAGGCTGCTTTCACAAACACAATTTGATATTCGATAATCGCGGACCTTCAATCATTCGAACCGACAAAACGTTACATAATATTGTTTGTTATTACTTCATTTGCTGCTTTTCCTACAACAATAGGTTTTTGCGTATTCAATAACGCAACACAATGATCACTGAGTGAAAACCATTCGCCTGATTGCTTTTCATATTGAACACAACAGATGACTAGCAATTACATCATGTACGTCCACGTCCGCGCGTGGTAGGGTAACCTAGTGGTTGAAGCGGTCGCTCGTTACGACGCAGAAAAGGTTCGATTCCCAACATGGGGAGAATTTATGTAGCCTCTTGGTGTGCCTTGTCGTGATATGACTGGAATAATGTTAAAAGCCATATAACAATACTCATTCTAATGAAAACAGTAATTAAATAACCCATGGGATCCACAAACCAGCTTTCATTGTCTCACTTATAATTAAATTATGTATATGAGCGCCATCTGCACACATGCTCTTACTTGCAGTCTATGAATAATACAGTAGTTCTCAGGACTAGAGTCGTAAAACTCGTGGATATAACCCGTGGCTCCTTCTAATTACAATGACCCATCTGGTCAGAGAAACTAAGAACCGCTACGAGGGAAATAACAACTAGTACAAACCACTGTAGCAGTCCTGACGCGACCTTGCAGGAGGCCTATGTTTCATTGTCTGGGATCCATTTTCTACCTTGGTCTAGACGTTGTAATAATTATATATCCTATGTGAAAACGAGGCATTGTCTCTGTGAAATCAGTGTCATCGTCATCTCATAAGTTGGTATACATTACAAAATATGAACTGGCAAACAACGCAACTGTTGAACGTGGATAAAATTTACCTGGACTGCCGATTAGCCTTGAAGGACTATGTTCCGACAAGTTGACAGTACTACCAGTTTGATTTGAATCGTTCGGACATCATTTTCTGTGCATAATTAGTCATTTTTGTAAGAATGTTTGTCCCCCTAAATGACAATTTCCCAAGTCTGTTTCATACTTTTTAAAACAAGATAACAACTGAAAAATTGACAGACTGGAGCACGGTCTCCGGCATCGCGTGAGAGCAAGCACCACGATGGCCCTTCTGTGTTATGTAAACAACGCTCGAGTGCTCAACACGATAAACCAGTCAGAAAAATGCGACGCACTTCCGGATGACGTCACTTTTAAAAAAAGGCGACGAATAAGCCAGTCCATCCAAAGCGGCTACAGCGTTGTGTTCTTTTAATCTACCACGCTTAATGATATATTTTGGATGTAGTGTTGAGACGAAACAGGAAGGAATGGTCTTCTCGGCATTGACCTAGGAGGTCAAATGTGCTCTCATTGGACTCACGAGAGAACCGCCTCATATGGTCGCATCATATAAAAAGACGTCAACATACGGTACTTGTTGTTTCCCTGCCTGGCACTCGGCATAAAGGGGATTAAACAAGGACTAGTTCACTGCGTCAGTAGGCTGTGTCTGAGTTAGTATCCATGTTAAACTGCAGCATGGCATCTTAGTGGGCTAGTTCTATAAAAGCGGCAAAAGTCTGGACTAGTACAAGCAGC